GTGGATGTCCCATCGACGTCAAACTCGTGCATCACCTCGTCGTCGGGATAAGGATCAATGTCAATCACCTGGGGTCGCCCCACTACAGACACCTGCATTTGCATGGCTCTGCGGCTGTGCTGGTTGAGGATATAAAACAGCTGCGGGCGTTCGAACACACCTCTGTAACTCAACTTCTTGTAACTTGCTGCGTCGACTCTATCCTGAAGCCCCCTAATATAGGGGCCTTAATAATTAGAATGGGGTTTTCGGGCCCATTATACTACAACTATAATAAGGAACCACCTAAATAGTATAGGTATTTAAGCATTAAGGCCCCTATATTGCCTCCAATATTTCCTGGGAGTCTGAGAATCTAAAGCAGGCCTCAAACGCAAGCCTCAAACCCCAAGGACCAACCAATGTTGAGGGTCTTTCGCGAGCTGTCTTTGTTAACAGCTTAGCATAAACTCTGTCTACTATTGTCTACTCCTTAAGTTGGAAACTCAACGACATCATACCCAGGTACTCCGGAAGCAGACGCGAGGGATTACCAGCATCCTTCGATCTTTTGCGAAACCCTAGTGGCAACCCAGTTTGACAATCCGCACGTAAGTAGAGGGACAATCCTAGCCTTAGCCATCAGAACACTTCCTATAATGAACACCAAGGAAGAGCATGACAACTGTCGAGGCCCCTATATAAAGCCCTAAAGTACCTCACACCTGCTCTGCCTGTGACCAAACCCCAATCCCTAGCCTGGTCACTAGTGTAGGGCTTGCAGATATAGGTCTCGGGCTTAATGCCGTCCACGATAGCTAAGCCCCAAACTCTACCAGGAGCCCTGCAGAGGTATTTTTGCTGCTCCCTCAGAGCTTAGAGTGGGCATCCCAGGGGGCTCCTGGACCTTCGTCCCTTACCCTTTTTTCCCGAAAGCCTGTTGGGAGTTTCCGAAAGCAGGTACCCTAAATAGTAGGATCCTTCTGATTTTTCGGCGCCAAGACGAGGTACCCCTACTTGTCGGCCCTCTGATAGAAAGCCTCGAAGCCTGCCCTGAGGACTCGGCGATCCTCTAAAAGCCACTGTGAGTTCGGAGATCGGCAATACTTTTCAGGTTGTAGAGGTGTTTTTCCCTCCTACCTAGCAAGGACGAGCCCGCATTGCAGGGTACATTGGTCGGACAGCTGACGGAGGGTTTGGTGTTTTTGAGGTTCGTTGCAGTTTAATCGCTGTTCCCTTGTCGGCTCCGGCTCAGAACCACGCGTGCTCTCTGCGTAGAATGACAGACCCAACCACGCCTGTCCGTCTTGCTTTGAGCATTATGAAATGCCAGAGCTTGTCACTCATTCAGGACTGCAGCATCGCAAGCGGTTGATTCGAATTGCCGAAACTCTCAAGCAAAACCTGGGTAGTTGTCAAAATTATGGTCCCTTTTTGGGTCCCCAATATAGTACGGCACCTAATATTTAGTGTGTCCAAAAAGGAACCATAAATTTGACAACCACCCACCTGCCACTGCCACTCTGACCCAAAACCCACAACGGCAAAGTCGGGCTCGATAGCCAAAGACCGAACCCGACGACCCTCGAGCTGACAATCGACACCGCTTGAAAAACTGATTCGTAGTTCCATATCATGCTTAATAAGGGGCTATGCTTCGGATCGAATTATGTAAGGATACAAATCCCAGATATCAGTCAGACCAACCAAGAACAATTCCATGTGCTTTCTCTGCCTACATGCAGCAGGCTGTAAGCCCTCAAGAACCTCGCGTTGCAGCCATCATTGTAAGGGAATTGAGTTTTAGGAGTTAGGGTTTAAGGTTTTGGGTTCAGGGTACCTACATCTATAACTACACAGTACGGTTTCGGGTGGGCGAGGACAGACTTTCCGATTCCGGCTTCAGCTGAAGGAGCCAAGGCTTCCAACAAATCCCATAAAGCCGGAAACCGGACTAAGGCCCAAAAGTGCTGGGATTCCCTATAGATTACTCTTAAGGTTTGAGGCTATTGGGTTTCCAACTTTTTAAGGCTTCTACGATAAGTGGGGCTGCCAAAACGAACTTCAGTGGCCAGAGGCGTCGAGGCTTCACATATACATGCGACAGGCACAGAACGAGTCATCTTAAACAAAAGCATTAAAGTAATATGAGTGGTATATGCATATACACAAGCATATATATATATATATGTATAAATATATATGCACACACACACACACACACCTAACACAACGAACCTTAAAAGGAACTCTAAGCCCCCAAAGCCCCCAAACCCCCATAGAACAACCTCAGCATAGGGATGAAGTGAGTGCAGCTTCGGGCTTAAGCTGTGAATTTGGGGGTTTGGGATTCACTTACCTTGGGCTAGAAAAGAATGGAGGAATGGGATACAATTACAACAACTACTACTACCATTCTTCCATTCCCTACTAATTAACCAAAGGTAAGTCACAGCTGTAAGCTTCCATTGTTGAAGAAAGAGTCCCTTCCAGAAGCTCCAACCCTCAACCCTAAACCCAAGGCCTGAGCCAAAGAAAGATACCCCATACATGCAAATGCAGGGAGCAAATGCATCCCAAGCCCTATAGACTTTAGGGTCTAGGGTTTACGGTTTAAAGTCTTAATCCAAAGATGATCCCTGAATCTCGCCTCGAGGCGACTGCAGCCGTTGCATGGAGAGCGGAACCAGCTACGTAGACCTTAGGTGTTTTGGGATTTGGGGTTCAGAGGTTCGGGGTTTCGGCGTTCGGGGTACTGATGGATCGGCTTACGGCTCAGGGTCTGGAGTTTAGGGGTTCGACTTCGAGCCAACTGCTACTTGCTTAGGGTTTAGGATTTAGGGGTGTTGGTTTCAGGCGTTCTTCCTGCATCTTAAGGGATTGTTGGCCTTGTTTTGCAGGCGGTTTTCTGGTGTATGTGATCAAAAAACCTTCAAACTTATAAATAGCAAGAATTTCTAGAAAGGCTGCGACAGCGAGAAGGGCACGGCGATTCAGGCTCGATCCTGTAATGGGGGGCGGGGGGGGCAGTACCTACAAACTTTGACGAAATTGGCACCACCTTCCCCCTAGATTTACTAAGCTTTGGCCTTAATGTAGTCCCTATTGACGTACTTTACGGCCAAAGCATATACTATATGGGTACATGGTACATGGACACTTAGGGCTGCACCCCGGCCTTGTAAAGTCGCCTTCCTAAGACGGGCTCGATGCCGCCAGTCAAGCTGGGGAATGGTGTCAATTTCAGCACCAGCAAGTCTTGCTCACGCAGCAAACTCGCCATGGAACTTTCTTGCGCCGGGCAAGTTGTTAAAGTCGCCGTGGTGCCTATAATACTCTGGAGCCGTATAAAACCACCGAAACCGCAAACTTTCAGTAAACCAGTCTGAAAGCCCTGAACGAAGCCTAAACCCGAAACCCCAAACTCTGAATCCACAGCCTCGAAACCCAAAACCCTGAATTTCTGAAGCACGAAACCCCAACCTGTGAAACTACAACCCCTAAACCCTAATCCACTAAACCCCAAACTCTAAATCGACAACCCTTAAAACCCCAAAGCCCACCTTTTCACGTTAAGCCTTGTCGCCACCTCAATAAACCAATAAAATATCGTAAGCTCCACTTCGGGCGTAAGCACTGAACAGATGTCCCTAGCACAAAACCCTGCCTAGCCTCTAACCCTAAACGCTGAACTCTGACCCTAAACCTTCAACCCTAATTAACCCTAAACCTTAACCCTAAACCCTAAATCCTACAGTATGGTGCTCAGACCCTAACCCTGACCCCTAAACTTTGTGAAACCCCTAAATCCCTAAACCCTCGTTACACCTTAGCTGTGGCCCGCTCCGAGGTCAAATGCAAGAGCGGGTTCATGACCTGCGTCGTAATTAGAACCCCAAGGGTTTAGGGTTTCGGGTTTAGGACCTCCTTCGTAACTAGAACCCCAAGGGTCCAAAGGAAAGGGTCCAAAGGATCCCAATAATCAGGTATTCGGGTTTAGGATGGTAGTTATGCAGGTTACTACTTTGGGGAAGCACTTGGATCCTTAGGGGAATCGGGTTCCGTCAAAGGGATCCTTTTAGGATCTTTTACTTAGAGGCTGAGTACAAAAGGGTTAACCTTTCGAAATATGGTAGGATTATATGAGCCCCACATGGTTAAAGGTAGCCTACTCAGCCCCTCAGTATATGGTGTAAATAGGGTGTATAAACAGGGTTCAGGGTAATTTACAAAGGGTTTCTTGAGCGGATCTATGTGGGATTCTGTCGCCAAAAACCTCAATGCTTGTTTGTTTAAAGCATAAAACTGTCTACAAAGCTTGCGTGTATACGTACATCCATACATACCTCCGTACGTGCATACATACATACATATTCGGCTCCTCTTCAGGATTCTTCAAAAATCAAAACAGAGCTACGGATGGTTACATAGTTCAACTGTTCAGTGTCTAATCTAGTAGTTGTACTGGCACTTGTGCCGGGCCGGGAAAAGCTGCAAAGCCTCGGGGTCGCGAGCCGTAGAAGAGAATGCTAGTACTAACACGATTTGGCCAAATCGGACTATGTAGTTGACAGGCCGATAAACCCTAAAGTGTGTGTAGGAACGCATAGGACTTCTGGTTCCAGGATGTTGCAGCCAGCGAAGGCCTCAGCGTAGACGGGTGTGTGCGTCTGTGAAAGAGACACGGAGAGGGATCGTTTAAGTCGTGTAAGGGTTGCTTTAAGCGTTTCTTTTACCAGCGAGAGGGAGAGAGAGAGAGAGAGAGAGAGAGAGAGAGAGAGAGAGAGAGAGCGAGAGAGCGAGAGAGCGAGAGAGCGAGAGAGCGAGAGAGCGAGAGAGCGAGTGAGAGTGAGCGTGACGAGAGAGTGTTTGTAGACTGGGTGCAACACCCCTAAAACATAGCTAGATTACTTTAACCTTAATAAAGCCCTTCAGGGTCCTCCTCTTTTGATGGACTTGCTCCAGCTTCTGCAGACAGCTGCAAGAGCGAGTCGCTCTAGACCGCACTGGCCTGCACTGTCCGTCCCCGCAAGCTTGCCCGCGAGTCTGTAGACAGCCCTGCATGCCGCCGGCTTTCTAAGATACCGCGCGCACCCTGAGCCTCATTCGAACATATTGCATAGAGCCATCGTGCTGACGAGAGAAGGCGATGAAACATACAACAAGCCCCTAAACTCGAGAAGCTTGCGTGTGAGGATTGTTGGGTGACCTGTCCGGGGGCTCACCAATTTAGGTGCCCCAGCAGCACCAAGAGAGCAACAGGACGGCCGCACTGTACATGGCACTGGAACTGCTGCGCAGATGTCCGGGCAATCGTCACGTTGGCGACTGCTCCTCTATGCTTGTTAGCTTTCGACAACCATTGAAAACCTCATGGCTGCAAGTAAAAACCCTGATCAGTGCTTACCGACTTTAAAAAGCATACCAAGAACATGCCAGAATCCCTCTGGCATACCGCGATGAACGAACTGGCAAGAAAAGGCTGAGAAGCTCAACAGAGCCTCACAGGAAGTTGTGCTCAGCTACCTGAGAGCAAGAGCGGGTATAGGAGCCGCTGCTTCCGGCCTAGCGTCGTGTGTGATTCGGTTTCTCGAAGACAGTTCCTGCCCGATTCTAGTGGAGGGTTTCAAATTTCGGACATACAATACTTGCGGTTGCTCGAAGAGGCCTGCATGTAGCCATTAGACTATGAATAGACCAAAACATGGGAGTGGAAGCAGCTGCTTCCGTCACACGGTTTGCAGGAGTGCCGGACTTGCTCATATAGGGAACTCCAGAAAGTTGGAATATGGATTAATGGTAGGATCCCCTATAATTTCCCTTAAAGAGGTTACGACAATGATATTCCAACTTGCTGGCTTCTACTGTAGGGCTTTAGGATCCGACTTTGGGATGTCAAAGGCAACAATGAAAAAGCTGCCTGGTATGCTTTGTATGCCTAAAGCCTATAAAAACCTAAATCCATTTGGCTACTGGACCCAAGTCTAGATCCCAGAATCCTTTTTAGAATGTTTCTGGAGCTGACTTTGCCGCCATGTTATCCTAAACCCTAAACTTCCATAAACCCTGCACCCTAAACCCTTATAGCTCGAGCATGGGGCCGAGGTTTCAGGGAGTTCTTTGTGGATCTTACAAACAGCCAGCAAAGTAGTTCTTTTTGGGGTTCATATATAGAATCCTATAATGGTAATCCCAAAAAGGAACTACATTGGAGCCTATGGGTACAAAGAGCCAGCGGCCAAAAAAGATGAATCCGGGGTCCGACCTAGGGCACGGTCTGTTTAGGGTTTAGGGTTTGGGGTTTATAGGGTTTGGGTATAGGGTTTTGGGTTTGGTTGCCTCGGAACCCGATTGAATAGGGTTTGGGTTTAGGGTTTATATAGGGTTAGGGTTTTTTTTAAGTGCAAAGGGTCAGGGTTTAGGGCTTTGGGTTTTGGGTTCAGAGTTTGGGTTTGCAGGAAAGTAACCAGGCGACGCAAACACCTACCTTCCACGCCTGGCTCCAATCCCGCCCCCATATTTACAAGAATCGCCACCCCGTGGCGCCAAAATTGTTCCAAAAAGTCTTGCACAAAGGAACTTCAGCCCCTCAAGTCAAAACACCCCAACAACCCTAAGCCCCGAATCCCGAAGCCCTAAACCCTGGACCCCGAATCCTGAAGCCCTGAAGCCTAAACCCGAAACCCCCGAACCTGAAGCCTTATACCCCGAATTCTGAAGCCCTAAAGCCGAACAACGAAACCCGAAGCCCCACACCCTGAATCTTGCACCCTAAACCCACTTCTTCACCAGTCTAAACCATACAAACCCTAAACCCCAAACCCCAGACCTTTAAACCCGCCTCTTCACTAGTCTAAACCCTAAACCCAAGACCAAGACCTTTAAACCCGCCACTTCACAAGTCCAAAGTCTGAACCAAAAGCCTAGGCCTTTAAACCTGCCTCTTCTCTAGGCCAAGCCCTAAACCCAAAACCCTTCAACCACCTCTTCACTAGGCTAAACCCTACACCCCAAACCCTCAACCTTTAAACCCGCCTCTTCACTATTGGCCAAACCCAAAACCCAAATTATTAGTATTAATACTAATATTGAAATCAAAAATTTCGAATATGTGTATATATATATATAGAATACTAATACTAATACTAATACTAACAATAATAATAATAGTAATAATAATAATGTATGTACAAAAGACAATTCAAAACCCGGAATCCGCCTCTTCACTAGTCCATGAGCCACTCCAGCGGGCCCCAACGGTCCGACTCTACGGACATCTCCGACTCAAGGCTCTGCACCCCCGGCGACCTGGTGTCGATGGTTTTGGGACTTTAAGATCTAGGCGGGTTTTAGGGGTTAGGGCTATGGGTTTAGGGGTGTAGGGTATTAGGGGCTAGGGTTATAGGTTTAGGATGTGTGGGGCTCTTGCAGGGTTTAGGATTAGGATTAGGATTTCGGATTTAGGGGGAGACTGTAGGGCTTTATGCTCTCGCCACTGGGACTTGCCAGACGAGGTCGCGGGTTCGAAGTGCTTTGAGTGGTCGGCAGAAGAAGCTGACTATCAGTTCCACTCCACAGGGAGCATTGAACACTGCCCCACTGTAGGGCTTTAGGGGTTAGGGCTTAGGATTAGGATTTCGGATTTAGCATTTAGGGGGAGACTCTAGGACCAGGAAGGAATGATGTGGTGTCTACCGCGAAGGGCCAAGTGTGGACGAGCTTGCTGACGGCCTGTTGACTTCATTTCCTACGCACTAAGATGAGGTCTGGTCGGCGGTGGTGTTGGCCATGCGGTTTAGGGTCCAATGACTGAGTTACTGAGTTGATATATGCTTTAGGCATGAGGGTGTGGGACAATGGATGTAATTTGGCCATGGGCCCGGGATGGTGCCAATGCGGGATGCCTAAGCCCTGCCTACAACTACAGCCCCAAACTTGATGAAGTAGTCGGTCACGACCAATGCATTATGAGGCCTTACCTGGGAAACAGCCGTGCTTTTGATCCACCGGTAAGCCCTACAAGGCCTCACGGTGGCACAAGCAACCTAGCAAGCTCTGTCAGGGGAGAGGGGGGCTCGTGAGAGTTTAGGTATATGGTGAACCTCGGACTCCGGTTCGGTCTTAGCGCTTTAGTGTGTGCAGCTTACAAGGATCTACAGTCATGTTGAAGTCAAAGTGTCAACGTGAGCTCTACTACGAAGATATGGGGTGTGCTATTGTTCTGTGTGGGCATTTAGTTCGCGAGCCCCAATCCTAAATCCCATTCTCTGGACATCTGTCTGCTCGCTCTCTCTCTCTCTCTCTCTCTCTCTCTCTCTCTCTCGCGCTCTGTAGCCCTCCCTCCCTCTCTCACCCCTAAACCCTAGACTCTAAACCCCGATTCCGTCTACTGTTGCGACGGAAGGCCCAGGTGGAATCATCGGCCAGCCGTCCTTGCGACGTCGAGATTCGGCCAAAGCTACATCGTGGTGTCTGCTGCCAGGGTTAAGGGTTCATGTCGGGCGGTGCGGGGTGTACTGTAGGGGTGTGTTCCCCAGGATGCGTCCCCAAGTAGCACCTGCGCAGGCACCCAATTCATTTTTGATATACCAGCACAAGGGAGCCTCAGAAGGAAACAACAGCAAGATACTGCCGGGGTACCGTGCAGCACAGCATTCAAGACATCCGGTATGTTTGGATACGCAACACGTCATGTCCTGCCCCCCTTGCCCCGAACAGCCCTAGGGCCCTAAACACAGTCTCATATTCCTGAAGCCTTGACGGTGAAAAAACAGCTACACCTAATTTCTACGAAACACTGCGGAGAAGACCAAATGCAACCACTGGATCGAGGGGGGTGGGGCATCAGAAGCCCTCCCAGGGCTTCCGTGGAACTTTGTGGATTGCTGGCCGGAATGTCATCCCTCTGCCTCCCTGAACCTTGTACTCTAATTATGTCGCTCAAAACCCCGATGTGCAGCAAACGCCAAGAAGGAAGAAGCCGTACAGTTGATGACGCCGTTCCCAGGTGCCTCAGGTGCTTGTTACGCTACACCCACACTGTATAACCCAAACGCTCAGGGTTTATTGCAGGGTTTAGGTAACGCAGAAAACTAACCCCAAAACCCTCAACCCGGTAAAGGACAGAACAAGACTCAACCTTATAAGCACTCAAACCCCACACCCCAAACACTATACCCTGGTCCCTAAACCCTACACCCCAAACACGATACCCTGTAGACCCTAAACCCCACACCCCAAACACTATACCCTAAACCCTGAACTCCTAAACCCTACGCCCCCAAAAACCCTATAAAACCCGGGCCCTGGTCCTCATCATCCATCTCGTCAGCTCTCGCTTCATCCCATCTTCTTCCTAGCCTCATGGCTAGTAGCGCCTGACGGCCTGCTCTGCGGGAACTTTTGCACAGGCGCTTTAAGGTTTACCTGGACCCTCGAAGTATGTAGAATAATGGCGTCTTACAGGTGTTGGGCCAATACTTTACCTACTTTTGGGGGTCTAGGTAGGGGTTACCCAGAGACCTTCAAAATGGGCTATGGCCCTCATAAATTGGTACATTTAGCCTAAACTTCGAAACGGTTTCGGCGCTCACGCTCGGACAATCCAGGCGAGGCATGTGGTTCGAGGTCTGAAGTATGAAACAGCACTACGCGGTTTGAGGTTTAGGGTTACCTAGAGTCACCGATGTACCTTTGGAGAAAAGGGCCCTGGCTCTTATGAATTGGTAGGTTTACCCTGTGTAAGGTATCTTGGCTACGCTAGGTAGGGTTGAGGGGTTGGAGTCTCGGGACTTTCTGGCTGGAACTTTCAAACTTTGGCCTTGTGCAGAGAACTCCGAGATGAGTTTAAGCCTACATGTCCTTCTACGAGTGTGTCACGGTTTGCATTGCATCAAGATTCTAGATTTGAAGCTTTCTGAAAACCAAGAGAGACATATTATGACATATGGCTACTCAGCGGGGCCGGCTTCTTGCTAAATACACCTCGCAACTGTGTTTAAGCAGCCCCCGTCATCAAGTAGCGACTGGTTCCGGCGGCGGTACACTAAACTACTTGGTCATAACCCGCTTCTTCGCCGTTCATGGCGAGGACCTATCCTATAACAAGAAGATAGCCAAGAACATGTATTGCCTGTTAGGGTAACATAAGAAGATTGATAGCCATAAACAGAGGGTTAGTGTATGCTACAGTAACAAGGGATACTCCTAAATACTACGGCATCAGACTTCTATGTCAGACAGTAAGACCTAAGAACCCTCGACAGCAAGTACAAGCTGTCGGTAGGGTTCAAAGTAGATGGAGTTCCCTGTTTCGACAGCCAACGGATTCACCCCAAACTCCCCAGCATACCACAAGCCCAATTTACTGTCTTTAGGGAGCTTGCTGTCGCTGGACTACAGTGACAGCACAGCATGTGAACCCACATTTGGGTTTAGGGTTTAGGGGTTTAGGGTTTCGGCGCTCACAGTTTTAGGGTTTAGGGTCTAGACTTACCGTCGCAGCAACCGGCACAATGTTTTTGATCAAACCAAAGACCGGGACCCACACGTCCTGCCCTTCTATGCATCAGAACACCTCCACCAACAGACACGAACTTGATGACACAGGAAAGAAGGCGGCTGTCATAGACACGAATGACACGATCAAGATCCTTACGCTTATTACACTAAAGTCCTTCCCCAGCGCAAGAAATTGCAGCTTGGCAGCTAGTTACGCTCGGCCGGGCAGGCAGCCAGGCGGGGTGGGTCTGCGATGTGGGGCTCTGCTAGACACTTTAGCTTTAGGCGGGAGCCAAGCTTGAAAAACCTTAAACCCAAAAGCCTGCAATCCAATGCCTCAGGATGTATTTTATAACCCTAAACCCTAAACCTTAAAATTGGCACAGACAGCTGAGGGTTCAGGGCCAGGGTTTAAGGGATTTGAGACTTTGGGGGTGTCGGGGTTATAGAACCTTAAGGGTTTAGGGTGCAGTGTTGAGGGGGGCCCGGTAAATCCTAAGCCCTAACCCTAAATGCCCTAAACCCTACAACAGCGCAAAGCCAGAACTTTAAAGCCAACAAGCCGAATCCCTCAACCTTAACCCGAAATCGGTAAAACCTGAACTAAACCCGAAAACTCTTAGAGTCACTTCAAACCTTAAGTTTCCCCAAGGACCTCACAATTAGGGCCCTAGAGCCCGTAAGGCCCACTAACCAGGTCCCTGGAACCACGCGTTCGTTGCGAAAAAAATTGCCTGGAGCCTCGTGGTCTGACTTCTGAGCTGGGGGACAAGAGCGCAAGGAGTCCCTATACGGTGACCTTGGGGTTCTATTCTAGGGGTTGCCTTTCAGGGCTACTATGGGGTTCTGTACTAAGGTCCCTGTTATCAAGCTTCCTGTCAGGGTCCCTATAAGGGTTCTTGGGTTTGTATGGTTTAGGGTCCTATCTGGCCGTCAAGGAAGGGCTCGGCGTTTATCTAGGGTTTTATGCTTCCAAAAATGCCTCCTGCTTTTTGGCATGAGCAAGCCGACAACCAAACACTCCGCACCCGAATCTTACACACTACCTATAGTCTCCATTGTAGTTCCTCTTTTTGCTTAACCAGTTTGATGGTTAGGATCCTATAAGAGAGAATTTAGTTTAGTTAACCCAAAAAGGGAACTACAATGGAGACTATAGGTACTCTCTACACGTCAAAGACCAGCCCCTGGAAGCCCCAGACTGGCCCTCAATATAAACCATTCCCGGCGCCATGATGATGGGAGGCCAAAAGGGGGGTTTAAGATTCTTGGGGTAGGGATTCCTTATTAAGAACCCTATTACGGCAACCCTAATCCCTACTAAACCCCCATAGGCTAAACCCCCTTTTGGCCGCCTATGACATGAACATCAGCCCTCATCTTCCCCTCACCCAAGCGCAGAACCTAAAGTTCCTCAAGAACCCGGAAAGAATCGCTGACCTGGTCGTAGAGTTCTGGGGAACTGCCTCGAGTTGAAGATTTTGTGTGCGGTTGATCAGCAGCTTAGGGGTAAAAGAGATAGGGTGTCAGGAATGGTTCAAAGGGGTTTTGCAGCCTTCAGCTAGAAGGCTCGGGAAATGGGTAGTTCAACAGTTTAGGCTTGACGAAGTATGGTTTAGGCAAAGTACCGAAGCTCAGTTTCCGCGTTGGCTCTGCTGTGACGCGAGATTCAGGGCTGAAGCAAAGCCAAATCGTAAGCTCGTCCATTACAAGATGACAAGGGGTCCCTCAACCCCAAAGACCACATCCTCTCTAGACCTTGATTGTTCACTGTCGAGCCCTAAGTCCAAGTTCAGCCAGCAGCTCACTCGTGATCAGCGGGATGTATTTAGGATGATTTAGGAAATCGTCAGTTCAACTCCTCTGGGACCTTGTAGGGACAAGCCCTGTGCACAGGAAGTCTACCCCGCATCCTTTCCTCCAAGACCCAAAACCATGAAATCCCTCCCCTTTTACACCTCAACTACACATATGAAATCCCTCCCCTAAACCCTAAACCCAGCCCACCCACCCACCCACCCACTCACCCACCCACCCACACCCACACCCACACACACACACACACAGACACACGCAAACACACACACACACAGCCCTGACCACATCGACTGAAAACACAAAAGTCCAAATCCCCAAATCGAGAAGCTCCAAGCCACCCCGACAACAGGCGAAATCACCAACCACTTAGCGAAACAGAACTGTAAAATCAGTTATCATGCAACACCCCGCGTCTATTGTATATATATATATATATATATATATATATTTATATTTATGTATGTATATAACATACACACACATCTCTCTCTCTATATATATATGTACATCTATGTATAAGTCCAAACCTATGTGTATATACGGGTATGCACATCCATATGCAGGTATGCCTGTGAATGTATACATATGACATATCCACTGTTCAAAAGGGTGCATATGAGAAGTCCATACAGGCACGTACATCCATACATCCATACATACATACGTGCGTTACATACATACCGGCAGACAGCAAACAAAGCAGGCAGGCGAACAAAAATAAAAACATACATATATATATATATATATATGTATGTATATATATATATATATGCGAATATAATGTACAGCATGCATGTGTTTGTATATTTATAGATCCAAGCATTTATGGAGCACCCTACTACGATAGCCTTAAACCCTCCTCCAGGCCTGATGCTTCATCCAACAACAGTTGCCGCGGCCGCCCGCAGAATTGGAAGATCCTCATGCTCTAGGATTTCAGGGAGGTTGAGGCTACGAAACCTGGGATTTAGGGCTTGGGCATGTAGGATGTTTCGGGGTTCAGGACCCACGGACACCACAAGGCTTCGAAAACAAGGGGCACCGGGGCCAAACCAAGAGCCGTCAATCCGATAGTCAGTGCAAGCAAGACACATGAAGAGTGGGCTGTGGGCGCCGCCGGTGTACAAGCGGCTGGCTTCAAAAACCTGAGATCCGAAGAAGACACAGCGATTGAATCTGAGTCGTACACCCTAAACCTAATAACCTTAGTAATGGGGCCTTGGGGGGCCTTTTGATCAGGTCAGTGAACCACCGAAATCCCAAACCCGTGGCCGGAGGTTGCCAGGATCTACACAGCAAAAGGTGCCAAATGGCCTAATGGTACTGAAACACTAACGTCACCAACGTCGAATCATAGTCTGCAAGGAATCACTACAGGATCTCCGTCTTCGCCCGACTCTCAAAAAGCTTGAGCCTAAATCTTTGCTTCTGAGCCACATGCCTCTGATATCCATACACTCTGACACGACATCTTGTTGACTACGTCTCGTCGAGGTACATAAGTACCTATCTATCTGTATAACAATATACATCTATATATATATATATATATAAACGTACAACTATGTAACTATGTAACTTTATACCTCTGGAACTGTATAACTACCCAACTATGTATACACATGAATAGAAAGGGTATGTGTATAGATATACATATGTAAAGCTACTTATTATGCATGCATACATGGACGGACGGTCGGACGAACCGATGGATAAATGGGTGGATGCATGTGTGTATGTCTGTGTGTAAGTATGTGTCTATATGTAGTCATATGCATGCGTGTGTTTACAGTATGTATACACATGTCATATAGGATGGCAGACAGACAGGTAGATAGATGGCTAGATGTCTAGGTAGACGAGGTAGACGCACACTTCGATAGATACATAGTTAGCCACATAGGTAGATAGACAAACAGATAATAGGCAGACAGAGAGAGACAGATACATAGACAGGTAAGTAGGCATGTAGATAGATATAGATATAGATAAAGATACAGATATAGATAGAGTAGTTGGGTACATAGACAGACAAATAAACAGATCGCTGGGTAGGTAGATAGATCAAGTAGATGGATGGACAGAGGGATGGTTAGATCGACAGATAGGGAAATCGATAGAACAATAGTACATACATACATATATATATATATGAGAGAGAGAGAGAGAGAGAGAGAGAGAGAGAGAGAGAGAGAGAGAGAGAGAGAGAGAGAGAGAGAGAGAGAGAGAGAGAGAGAGAGAGAGAGAGTAGGGAGAACGACAAACCAATATAGATAGACAGAGAATAGATTGACAGAAGGCAGATAGATAGCTACATCGACGTGTCTTTCATATACAGACATCGAAGCATACGATCTTGTAACTTGCCGAAGTGGCTTGAGCGACCTCTGGAAGCTGCAAATGGCCTGGAAGATGTCGATTGCACCTCGGAAGCACAGAGGTTGAGGGCTCTTGCTTGGGCTACAGGTTTAGGGTGTGGGTTTTGGGCTTAGTGCAATTCCGAACCCCGGCAGTAACTACCCATTCAAGACGGGCTGGTCTGTACCACACCCTCTGTCACAATACCAAAAAGCACATGTTTGCACGTGCCATTTCAAAACTGGAATGCAAAGTCCCTGGCACTACAATGCTTTCCCGCCCCCCCCACCCCCCCGTCCCACCGAAAATTTCGGAACAGGGTGGAGGCTTCGGGCAATGAAGTCTCGTCTGCAGGGCTTGTGTAGCCTTGGGCTTCATGGTTTACATTAGGGTTTAAAGTCCAAGCTCGAGTGGGAGTCCAGGGTGCAGTGGCTTGGGTTCTTGCTAGTTCTGCTAGCTTAATGTATGCTCGTCAATATTAATCATGTGAACGTAGAATGTGACTGTGATTGTAACTATCATTGTTTGCATTACTAGTACTACTACTGTGATTGTTACTATCATTATTATTATTGCTAGTGTTGTTATTACTATGAAATTATGTTTCATTACTATTACTATTACCATCACTACTTGTAGTACTCTTATTGTTATTCTTGCTATGACCACCTTTTATCATTATTCTGTTTAGTCGTAGTCGTCGTCGTAGTATGATCGGAATTAGGGCTTCTCTGGGCTTTTAACTAACCAGGGAGAAAACGTATACGCTTGTATTTCATAATGGTTCCTTTACGAGAAAAAGTGTTAACGTATGGTACTCCAATCCAAAGCCCAGTTCTTTGAGGCGCAGGAGGAAGCAGATCTTGGCGTCGAAGGCCAAAGGCACGGTGCTTCCTTGGTCGAGGCTTCCGGGGTTCAGGATTTGGGGTAAATAGGGCTTTTAGGGCTTAGGGTTCAGGGTTTGTTCAAGGTTTTTGGACGCTCACAATACCAGGCAGGCGAGGTCCTAGGGATCGGGGTTTTGCTCTAGGGTTTAGTGTTAGGGTTTCGGATACTTCTAGGCTTTAGGGTTAGTATAGACCTTTCAGTGCTAGGCTGCTAGAACCTGGCACTGCTAGGGTTTGGAATACTTCTAGCCTTAAGGGTTAGTAGAAACCTTTCAAAAAAAGTCTGACATGGGGATTTGGGAGTCCGGTACCTCACCTAGGCCAGAAACTTCCTGGGCTATATAGTTTGTATTTCTTTGTGTTGTTGCGCGATTGGCCAGCCTAGCTTTCGACGAATGTACATCCCAAATAGCAAAAAAGGAAGTTTTCGAAGCTTGGGTGAGCTCCGAAATCAGTAGTCTGTTGGACAACGAGTGGACAAAAACTCCCAAACTAAAGCGCGCATCGCAGCGCGCAAGTGGTCACAAACTTAGTGGTCTTCTTTACTAACAGAAGGAGCGCCAATCAATAGGCGTACACTTTGATGTTGGCTGCCCTCCCTTGCTTGTTATTCTAGGATCCTGACACGAAGGCAAGGATACCCCAAACCTTCTGAACTTCGGGGTGGAGCTAGAACACCAGCTTTCGCTATCTTTCGCTCAGCAGCGCTTCTCTTCCATAGTACGTCGGAGCCGCCCCGCAATGCCGGGCTGAAGCCGGTTGCTGCGCAAGTCCAAGACCACCAAGCTACCTGTCTGCAGTGCCCCCCCCCCCCCCAACCGTTTCCAAACGACATGAACAATATCTCCAGCGGACTGCGGGGGTCGGGGGTGGGGGCGGTGGAGGGAGATAAGATCTCATCGGGGGTGTGGCGGTGTCGGGGTTGGATTGAGGAGAGAGAAAAATTGTTTATGGGTTTGGGGATGCTGAGTGCTGGCCCTGTACAAGGAAATGGGCTCGCTCTTCAGAAGGGTGTACAGTACAGTACCTTGACCCACCAGAACCGCCTTTTTGTGTAGGGTCTCTACAAATTCCATATTAGGCCGTATGAAACGGACCTACAGAAAAGTAGGTTCTGGTAGGTTAAAGTAGTAGTACAGTCGTAATACGGTACGAAGCTTTAGGCGCCCTTCTAGCTGGCCTAGTCTCGCCCTGAAACCACGAAACCAAGCAACATAACTACCAACACTAGAAGCCCTGCATGTTGAAGAACTCAGCAAAGATTGACCGTTCGTAAAACCAAACAATACAAACTCGCATGGCGCTCTTTTTTGGCGTAATTTCGAGGCGGCCAATATGCCCAAAATCCTGAATACGGCACCAGAAAATTCACTAAAAAGGGTCACCTAGTCAAAGAGAGTATAAGCACCAAAATGAACCGAGGTGCTATTAATCTCCATTGCCTTCGTGAAGTCCACCATGTCCTTTGGTCGAGCCGTTTTGAGTCCGTTATGAGCATGAGGACTGTAAAACATCGGGAATAAGGCTGGAGGCTGCAGGCTCTGGCTTCAAAGCTTAGGGTTTAGGGTTTACCTATAGTCTCCGTTGTAGTTCTTTTTTTTGGTTGAGCCAAATATATAAGTAGGATCCTATAAGGCAACCCCAAAAAAAGGAATTTCAATGGAGACTATAGGTAGGGTTAAGGTCCATGGCTAAAGGCTTAGCTTGGGGGTGTTGAGCGTCTGGGCTGAACGTTCGCGTTGGCTTCTTTCAGGCTTCTGTACTCAGAACCTCGTAATATACGAATGGGAACCGAAAGAACCTACTGCAGGCCAGATGTAGGTCTCTGACCTTGACTTCAAGCACTCTGTAGACCGGGCTCGTAGCCCTAAACCCTAATTCCTGAACCAAAACCCCCAAGCCCCTAAACCGCAAACCCAACCTACAAACGCCTGTTTACCACTGGGCTCAAGTCTAGCCAGACCTTCCACCCCTCTATCCTGAAAATATCTAAATCCCAGAACCCCTCAACACTTATGCACGGGGGCCTTACGGCTTAAAGGGCTCTTCTGTGTATGTAAAGCGCCTTGCGCGCAGCACTGTCCGACGTATGTCCGTCTGCGTGTCCGTATGTATGTATGAGCAGTGAGCAAGCCAAAAAAAGCCAAGCCGGAGGATGAGAAAAGTTTCTGATCAAGGGGATGCAGGTTGTGGCGACGAGGCTTGGAACGGGCGGGGGCAGGCGGCTGGGCAGGTAGGCAATGCAGACATACCGAAGTGTTTATAGCATGTGACCTGCTATGTACCTGGACATTTGTGTGTATACCTGTACGTATGACTCAATAAATGTGTACATATACACACACATATATATATATATATATATACACATGTTTTTATGTGCAGATATATATATATATAGATGTATATGTATATGTATCTGTGTGTGTAGGGAGGGAAGAGGGCGGGCTAGGGCCCTGGGTCGCCATTGCCCTCAATGCAAACCACAGCAGCCGCGCAAGCAGTGTGCGGAGCTGCCACATCGCAGGCCCGAAGGATCCTCAGGGAGGCTCCGGCAGGGTTCATTGGGTTTGGGGGTTTAGGGATCATAGGGTTTAGTAGGGTTCATTTGGGCTTATTGGTTATAGGGTCTACCTCATGATGCACTAACCTACTGCATCGAGGGTGACAAGAAAAATCTGGGCAAGACCTGCAGGATGTACAGAGTTTCAAGGCTTAGCATCCGGAGGGTGCAGGCCCTCGGCTTCTGCGTCTTTGGCTGAGCCATTTGATCTATACTCCGCTCTCACAAAACCGTGGTATTCGGCAAACCAGGGTGGAGCACTGGACACAAGCCCCTAAGAGAGGCTTTAGGGTTGGTTGCCCTTGTGATTCAGGATGCAGAGTTCAGGGTTGATGAGCTTCGACTGATCTCTGAGGGACGGATTTCGGCGCCAGCACTGCTTTCCTGCTAAGTCGAAACGGGCTGGCAAAAGACTACCGGCTGGCACTTCTGGTCGGCGACGTGGCGAAACCGTGTTTCGCCTGGTGTTCTCGATCAGCACTTTGTGGATCTGCATTTAGTTAATTTAGTTTGCGATTGCCGACCTATATAAACCACATGGATCCCGGAATCCGTAACCCCTCGATCCCTCAAGCCTCCGTCGCCAACACGGCAAACGTCGGAGACCCGAGCCCAAAAAACAAGTCGATGTGATGAACCCTTTACGATAAATGGGAGTACCATTTCAACATCACTTTCCGTTCATTCCAAATCCTTGTGGCTCGCAGCCCGGTTTGTTCAGTTCTTCCGACAGTAGGATCCTTAAAAGGACCCCAAAGCAAGGTACCCCTAGTTTTCAGAAACTCCCAATATTGCAGGGCCGGGTGTCTCCAGCTTTCTGTCGGCCCGTAAGAAGCTGCTCAACTCTACGAAGCCGGCCTGCTTAAAGTGGCTGAGGGTGTAGGGTCCCAGAGACTCCAATACCCCTTAATTAAGGACTAGACATTAAATCATATTAGGGGTACTCCAATACCCCTTAATTAAGGAATGAACCTTAAATGATATTAAGGCTTCCTGCTATAACTTAAGGCATATTCCTCAGCTAAGGAATGTTGAAGTCTTGGCCTTTGTAAAAAAAGAACAGGGTCTAAGAGGGCTTCGGCTTCCTTCTATGGTTCTATGTAGAGGGCCATATAATCAGGGCGGCGTGTGTAAGCGCGCTTATGTTTAAGAGTATGCTTCATAGGGATCTATGAAACAATGGCGACACAATGAGGATTTAGGGTGTAGTTGAGGTGACTTCTTTATCGAACAGGCTTCGAAAGACTTAAAGCTGCCTGTAAAGGTTTTGTAACACGGCTTTTAGACTATTTGGGTTTTCGCACCGGGGACTTTCTGATTAGATTAGGGCTTTGGGTTATATGATGTCAAGTTTGGTATTCAGGAACCCAAAGGACAAGTGTCAGAAACTATTCAAGCTCGAGTAGTCGCCACAAGGCCGCCGGAAGGCGAGGGATTTGTTGATGTTGTTGATTCTCCGTTTCGGGTCAAGTTTCAAGTTTAGGGACATTGAATTGTTGTTGCTGGTGATTGTAGGTTCAAGTTTGGTGATGCTGAAGGTGCTTTGGCCTTGGAGTGGGTTAATGTTTCGGGAATTCAAGCATCTATTTCTAGGCTTGCCGGGTTTGGAGTGTTACTTTGAGGTGCTGTGGGTCTCAGACGAAGTGCTGCGCGAGACCTCCGTAACACTGCCATAAGACCCTGTCTAATTGCATCTGCATGCGCAAAGATCCGTGGAGCCACCAAGTCAAGTGCTTTCCGACATCCCTGATCACATGTTACGTTTCAAGCTGAGGTCTGCAAAAGCTTTCTAGGGACTCCAACTTCTGGGCATCAAGCTCGCAACCTGAACCCAATACAAACAGTCGGTAAACCCTCGTACCCTGGAAAGCAAACTGTAGGAAAAACCAGCACTAGTCATCGGACTATGTAGGGGTTCCTAGACCCTAGACTTGGCCCTGGACTGAAGCTGTTAACCATTCTTACTGCTACTACTACTACTACTACTGCTACTACTACTGCTACTACTACCAACAACGAAGCTCTTCAGATGCGTGGAGAGCAGATGTTTGCCTTCCTCAGAGGCTGTCCTGAGATGTCCAAGGAAGTAACCTGAGCTGCAAATTTATGTAGATATACATATGGGAGTTTCCGAATATTAGGGGTACCTTATTTGGGGTCCCTTTAATAGGGGTCCTACTATTGAGGTACTATATTAGGGTCCCCTATTCTCGGAAACTCCCGTATGTAACCATATCAACAGCATCTCCGGACAGAAACATGGACACATAGGGTCTTGGGTTTAGCGCTTGCACTTGGACTGGCCAGATGAGCTTCTCGGTTCGCAGTCGGCCTGAGGGTCTAGGGCATATAAACTGAAAAGTTTCAGGTGTTAGAAAAATACTTTCGGAATATTCAGACCCCGAACCTACAACCTTTTACGCATTCTAAACGTTTAATAAATACAATCTGGGTGTTGATTTGTCTCGCGACCTCAGCGCTTCCGGGACCTAGCATGTGCGGAGTACATGCATGAATACATTCATACCTCTGGGCATATAAAATACAGTGCATTATGTGTTATATGCTGTTAGACTCTATTATACTCGACTATACTGTATTAGGGCTATCTCTCTATATATATATATATATATATACATATATATATATATATATGTACACATATGTTATCATACGACAATGTGTTGCGTACTATTGGGTTAGTCTAGTATGTTAAAACAAATTACACTATGCCCTAAAATCACTATATAGACTTATCGTAATTGACGCTACTTGTTACTGTCATTATTGTGTAACGTTCTCATTGTTGTTATTACTTATTGCTGTGGTTTTTGCTGCTATTCCGATTGTTAAAGTTGTTAGTGGTGTTCCTATTATCGCATTCTTCTTCCCCTTGATTTCATCACTATGTTCACGCTTATTATCACCATCTACAATATTTGTCTTATCTTGCCTTTGTTAACGCCCTTCTTCAAACTACGCAACAAACAATGCCTTGTGATTACACGGTTGTATGGTTGTGCAGATGCATACATGGAAGACTGTGCATATACTGACTTTTTGCAGCCCACCTGAAAACTTAATGCTCAGCTCGCAACCTATAGTTTTTAAGCAGCTCGAGATCATGGAATATGTAGCTGGCAAGTTGCCCATCACTCAAAGCATAACGGAGCCAGAGATGAGGTTTAGGGTTGAGGGCACGGTAAAAGCGGTCGACATGAGCAACTACAGGAGTACGTCCCATGAACTTTCTGGACAAGGTCAATGCTCCAAACCTGCACTGTGTTTGCCTTCATCAAGTCTGAACCATGCCGTGCCCAAGCAAATCGCCGCAGCTATACTCCAAACACTGCCGCCTGGAGAAGAACAGGCCCTAACCCCGAACCCAAACGACTCATAAGGCCACTCTAAACCGGGGTTGCTTTCGAGAAAGTTTCCTCACAATCACCACATCTATCCACATCTCTAAACTTTAGCCTGGATAGTTTGGAGTTCGGCTTGACCACTCCACAGGGATCCAGTTTACATGGCATATCACTTTCCATCCGGGTGATTGGAGGCACTCTACACTATATCGCTAATCCCTATAGACCCTAGGCCCTTAACCCTACATAATCTCTATACGCCCTATAATGCCCCACAACCTAGAACCTAAGCCCTGTTTTCCTTATAGACACCCGCCCTGAACCCCAAACCCCAATCCCAATGCTCCCTGCAGACTAAACCCTAAACGTAAACCCTGTATACACCCTAAACCCTAATCCCTACATCCCCTGTAAACTAAACCCTAAACTTAAACCCTATATATATATATGTATATATATATATACACCCTAAAATCTAACCCCTACATCCCCTGTAGACTAAACTTTACGCCCGGTCACCGTCTTCAGCTGGAGCAAGGCTGAAAGCAAGGCCTTCGCTGCTCAGATCTACGAACTGCATCTCTCGGTTCATGGAATACTCTCCAGGCGGGATACTGAAGCTCTATTGTATCTAATTATGTATGTACGCAAGTATGAACATGTGTATAGATATAAACATTATGAATCTTGTTGTTATTATTATCTTCATTTCCATTCTTACTCTACAGACATGCCCAGAGTCGACACCTTGGATGGACAGCCCTAATCTAAGTAAGCCCGAAGTATTCGGGCGTCAGGTTTAGGCTCAGCGTTTCAGGCAACTGTGCTTGCATACGTAGCAACTTATGCAACGCTGCATCAAATCCAAAACACCTGAACCTTCGGTTCCGCATGCAAACGCAAGTTGATGTTACCTTCGACACACACCATGTTTGTGTGTACGCCAGGTGTCAAGGTGAGTGTGTTCGCGAGGGGCCCGCCGGATGTTCCCGCAGGGATCCACTGACAATTCCAATACATGAGCCTCCATTTTGGCGGCGGAGTGTATCCACCAAGTTCTTATGGGAAGTAAGGGATCTAGTACGGTAACTTAAAATTACAAAAACCCTTGAACAAGAAGCCAGATTATCCTGATGGACTCCCTGGTCTGCTGGTAGTCTCCTGAAAAGAACCGGCTGCCTCTAGCTTGGAGGTGTTTCGGAACTGTCAGCGCTTTGGGCATCTGCAAGGTGGCCACGGGAACATCTACCAACTATCAAATATCCTTACCTTAACCCCACGTAACCTACCTTCTTAAGGACATATATAAAGAAATCATATTAGGGAAGCCTAAAAAATGGTAGGTTCCTTAGGGTCCAGGTAACCCTTATGCCCATCTTGCCGGGGCTCTCCCAGGCTTCGCCCATCTAAGCCGCAGCACTGAAGGTCCAGCGTCCGAAGAGCTCGAGCTGACAGCTGTGCCGTTATATAAGGGCCTTAATATTTAGAATAGGGGTTTCCTTTAAAGGGATCCTTATAATGTATGTTATATGGGGGCCTTGATAATTAGACTATAGGGGTTTCATGGTAACTAGGGTTATAAGCCAAGTAACCAATATTATACCCATTTACACCCCGCTCAAACAAGCTAGTATGTAGGGTCCAAATTACACAACGGTCTGATTGAGGGCTTCATGGGGCTTGAAGGGTGCAGGGTGTTGCGAGCTCGAAGTTGGGGTCTTAAGGCTTCAGGGTTTTGGGATTGCGCTGCTCGTGATGGAAGTGCAAGTTTCACGAAGAGGGTCAAGTTTCTGAATCCTAAACCCGGCTCAAGCAGCGAAGAATCAATGTCGATAGCCTGCACACTGGTGCTCCCAGGCCCAGTCTGGACCCTATGACAACCCGCCTTGTCAAGGACTTCCATGAGGATACTTAGGGTTGGGCATCGAAGCTGAAAACCCTCAACAAACACGCTGGCTTGGATTTGCTAGGCTCAAGCTTTAGGGTCATTAATCGTTACCTTTAGCGCAGTCTTGCTAGAGAGACTCTGAAACTATGCCTGGAGGAAGGAAAGGTGCATTTGGGAATCTCACGCTCGGTGTCCAACCTGCAAAGGACCCATTATAGTCGTGGAGCCTGTGCAGCTAGGGAAATGGAAATGTAGGATTTGGGGTTACAGTCGCGCCTAAGCATCTCAAGTTACACCTGATCTGATAGCTTCAAACCATGCCACACCGCAACAGCTGCGCCCAAGTGGCCGGAGCTACGTGCGAGATAGGTGGATGCGAAGACCTTCTCTGAGCAGACAAGTGGGAATTTCGCAGCTGTCCAGCATGCCTGATCCTAGACCACATTCTTCATAACTGCCTGTCCAGGACGACAGCGAAACAAGGTCATCTTAGCCTGCGTTACTAGTGAGGACCCTGAGGTAGGGAACCCTGTCAACACGATCGGAAGAAACCGGACAGGATTACATTTGGCCTGAGCATGGAGTACTGACATTTTGGCCAGGGATACGCCATTTAGGTAGCCAGCCCTGCTTCGGAAGCCCGGTACCATTCTCTTGGCCATTGCAAGAAGCCAGTAACCGGTAAGTGGGCACCTGCATGAAGATTTGCGAACCCTGGCCTTGAAGAGGCAGGGTTCATGGCTTGCCGTTTGAGATTAGGCCATAAACCCTGCACAACTCTTGTCAACAAGGCTCCCTGAAGCGAAACTCCCCAAACCCTGGACCCTGTACCCGAAACCAATCGCTGCTGACCTATTCCCCCCCCACACATTGCTGAGAACTGTGCGCAGATCCCATGTGGCATCACCGGCTCCTTCTCCAGGCTAAACCTGGCTGACATCGAGCTACACTCGGATCGATTTTGGGCTGAAGAAAGGAGATTTTGCAACCTTGAAGCTCGAAAGCAAATGCGTTTTGCAGCAGAGTCTGTTGGATCAAGGTTTCATCCTAATTACACCCCCAAGGAAGAAAGAAAGATATGCCAAACACACATTCAGTCACTCTACCTCCGTTGCCAAAACAGGACGCCACTTACTGTTGTAATTGCCACTCAGATTCCCGACTCAGGCTGTTTTTCACCGGCTTAGGCAGTTTGTGGGACATTTCCAGGGCCAATACTGCAAACACGGAAAGCAGCTCGTATGCTCAAATGGCTGCTGAGCCTCTGGGCGACATGCAAGGCCCTGAACCCCGGTAATGTAGAGGCCCTAATAATCAAAATAGGGTTTGGGGTATATTATACTATAGCTATAAGAAGGAGCCGACAAAACCCCTTTCTACGGGAGCATTCCGGTGAGATAGTTTAGTACTCGTTTACCTAACATTGTGCTGTGGCAGTGTGCAGTATGCTGCTGTACAGTCCTCAAACCGGAGCACTGAGATCCCTGGCCCGAAACTCCAACGAGACTTCAATTATACCTAAATCCCGCAGAACATACCGTTTTGGGATGTTTGCCTTCTTGCTGGGTCGATAACTGCAAAACTCCAGTAAGGTTAAGAAGGGTCCGGTCCAGGCCAGCCGTCACAGTCCAAAGCCAAATCTTGACACTCCTGGCTCCAAGGAGCTCTTCCTGTTCTACACCTCGGACAGGCACGCCGTTGTAGGTGGTAAGGCGACCTCCAGGTTCAACTGCATGTGCAGGTCTAAACCACTACGTTCAGGGTTTCACGGTGCGTTGCAGCTTGTTCCATAGACAGCGGATTCAACGGATTCGGGGCTTCGCAGGATGAACCATCTCAAAGTGCTTTCGATCTTAATTGGAGGCATCTCGTGGCGCTGTTGAAAACCAAATGCGAGTTCATGACAGGGCGAAGACAATGAGGGTACACGCGCAATGCCGACGTGGCCGGGAAAAGATACATCCGTCATGCCATGCTCCCATGCGAATCATGACTAGGCTGCACCCTTTCAGTAGTGATGTGGATCTCAAAGGGTCCAATCATGCTACCATGGAGGAAATAGTTTTCCCAAAACCATGATTAGAATGCTCTTTAGAGGCCTGATTTCATTCATAGCGGTAGGACCTACCCTGCACCGCCACAATCCATCGGTGGTGTGCAAGGCGTTGGCAAGACTGCAAAAGCCGCAACGAAACTCTTCTCGAAACAGCTAAGGTTACCTGTGACACCAGCTACCTGGACTGCCAGATGCGTCATAAACAACGATTGAACCTGTATGAGACTTGACCTGGCGCAACCCCTGCTCATAGACATACTTCTAAGAGAAATCAGCCAGTTCGGGGGCAACAATTTCTGTGTTTTCCATCATCGTGTCACTGCTACAGGGACAAGCCCTCACTCTCAAACACAAGCCCGTCTGACCTTGCGGTATTCCGAACAAAAAAATGTTCTTCATCTTTGGATGCTTTGTTAAATCTTGGGGACTTCTGTACACCACCGCGGCTGCCTTCCCTTTCCAGGGTGAGCACGGCATCGATGATGTGCTCCGTCTCGTGGCCAAAATCATTGTTTCTGAAGTCCACGCTTCTCAGGGAGCCTCGGCCGCGGACCCCAGAGGGCCCTCGTGAGAAGGGACATCCTTTGGGTACTGCCCCCACTCCGTAACAGTTGGATAGTCTTTATAATATAGATATATGAGGCCCTTAGTAGTAATAGTAGCCCTATTATAGACTGATACTGTATGGCGGCAGTACCCAAGACATCCTTCATCACCCTAACTATGCAGGCCTACCTTGCCTATATCATGATGTAATTGATGTACAATGGGGTCCTAGTATTACAGGTGAGTCATATTGGCTATGGTGGTAACGAGAGCGCGAGGCTTTTGGAATATTTGCTGGACGATCTGGGCCTGGGCCGACGGAAGCCATGACCCGGGCCAGGGCTTCAGGGATGTCCCTTTTAGCCCCTTTGGTTGGGGTTTAGAGCTGTTTAGGGCTTAGCATGGTAACCCCAGCTCTTTAAAGATGGTCCGCTGACATGTCACGGCACGAAAAGGAGTGAAGGAACGCCTACTTGGTACCAAAGCCACTTCCTTCCAATCTAAACCCCTCCAACCTAACCCCGAAACCCTACACTATATAAGTAATGCTACACCTTGCAGCCCTACACCCAAACCCCAAACACCTTGAACCCCCAAATCCGACAGCCCCCTCAAGTCGCCAAAATGTTTTAAAAGACAGAGCCCTCAGAACGTGTCCTACCATGGATATGGGTCCAGATAAGCCTAATTATGACTGTAAGCCCTACGCCCTGAAAACCCTAAAGCCCATTGGTTCAAGTTTTTGTTGGATCCTGTCGGTGGTCTGGGTTGGTGCAGCGTAGGAGCGTCCCCTCTCCAGAACAAAGACTAACCTGGGAAGCTCCGAGAGCTTGAATGTGGGCTCCGAGTTTGCGGGTTTAGGGTTTAAGAGATCCGGATTCTCGAGGTTTGAGGTTTAAGATTTAGAGCTTTTCGGGTGTAAAGTTTAGAGTGTAAGCTTTAGGGCTAGTTTCAGGATGGCTCTGTCTTCAACTGCCTCCGTAGGCTTAGGGTTTCGGGGTTTAGTAGAGCTTACCCTGACGCTCCAAAATCACAATGAAGTTCTCTGCGAAAGTGGCTGCAGCTACCCCGTGCTGGACCCAGAAAGCCTCGGTCCAGACCTAGTTGGATGAAGACGGCAATACAATAGGGGCCTTAAGAATTAGAGTAGGCTTTTGGGGTTTGATATACTATAACTATTATAAGGAACTAGTATAGGTAAACTCGCCTCTTCCACCAAACCGTGAGCCCATGAATTACGAACCGGATTACAAGACTAACCAAAAACCCTAAATCCCAAAACCTAAACCTGAAACTCAAAGCCTTAGCCGTAGCCGTAGTCATGCCAAGAAGAACTAGCCGCCGTCGCAAGTGTGACCAAGGCTGGTGTAGTCATGCCAAGAAGAACTAGCCGCCGTCGCAAGTGTGACCAAGGCTGGTGTATTCGAAGTGTCATACTGGCAGTACCTACGACTCCGTGACTATCAAGCTTGTTGCTATTCGCTAACCCCCGAACCCAAAAATTACGCATCGGTCGCAAACAAACCTGCTGACATGTCGC